CATACTTTACTGCGTCTTGGTTTGCATTTGGTGTTTTTAGAATTAAAATCAGGAAATTGAGCCCGACACCGGCGTTGGAGAATTATCCGGGACGAATCAGGCACACACCTGAGAGTTAGTGAAAAGTATTGAAGGTCCAAGAATACTCATTAAAGGGGTCATTTTGAAGTCAAGGGAGCTCAATGATCAAGTACGAGACCAAACGGGGATGAATACAATTATAAAACGGCAATCAGGATGACGTTCTATCAATCGTTCAAGCTTATCTTTTCGTAGAAACATCATAAGGAAACTATTCAAGTCTTATGAAGACACCACAACGAGAATGTGAGACGATCAAGGTGAAAACAGACGAGGAAGTCAGATAACTTCTGTTGAGATTTCAAGATGCGGTCTTCCACCTTTCATTCATATCTTTTGTTTGGATGATCCGATCTCAGTTTTGCAAGTTTTGGTGGATAGAGGACTTCATTAGGTACAACTTTTGTAAAGAAAGTATAGTCAAATTTGAATAGGAGATGTGCATGACATGCGGCCGAAGTACGCACGCCGTGCGCGGAAAGAAGAAATCTCGGAAAGGCTACAGGACCGAGAAACGCACACCGTGTGCAACGGTTTTTACGCTCAGGGTGCTCCAGACGCACGGGAGACACGCACACCTTGCGTGGCACTGTGCGTCGGCTATAGGTGTCTTTTTTCAACTAGAATTGCTTCATTTTCTATTTAAACACCCTGTAAACCCCTGTTTTGAAAGAGCTTATAGAGAGTGCCTAGGACGAAATTTTGAGATCATTTCAACCTTGGATCTTTAATATTATGGGATTATTTGTAAATTCTATCTTTTTTAATTAATGACAATTAATTCTGTTCTTCTCAATTCTATTGATCTCTCAATTATGCATTGTGAGTAGATTTAATAAAGGATCTGTGATTGATGAAGGGGGTATTAATCATGATCCAGGGTTCGTTCTTGAGGGTTTAATTACTTGTTAATCGTTTAATTTGTGTTTGAATAATTTAATTGATATTTTTGTAACCTGGAACGACCCTATGATTATAATTGCACATAGAATAATTTAAGAGAGATCTAAATTATTCTAGAACGTACACTTTCACACAAACTTAATCATTCGCTTAGAGATTAATAACGGTTAGGGAGCTGTACGCTCACTCGTTTTGGCAATAATTTAGGAATTTGTCGCATGAGAGATCAACCTAGTTCACATGCTTTATTGGTATAAGCCTCCCACTTTGATTTAAATGTCTTTGTTTCCAGGTTGATAGCCTTTTATCAAAAGCTTGAATGATGTTGTGACAATAGTTGATTCTGTTATTACCCCTTGTGCAGGACTGCTCCCAAGTATCTAAGAGGCCAATTGGTCTGATTCATGCCCAACAGCCTTTCCATCTTTCTTATCCTTACCAGGGAAGTTTTGCCACAAACAAAATTACTTTTGTTGAAATTAATTGCTTGCCCAGAAGCTCTTTGATAAAGATCCAAGAATTTCTTAAAATTTTGTAAAGATCTAGCATCCCCATTAATAAAAATGAGAATATTATCAACAAATGACAAATGGGATACAGGAAAACCATGAGAGCGGTAAGAATTTAGTATTGATCTGCGTTGCTCAATTAAATAATTTTCATGTGTTTAGCCATGATCATCCCCGACATCAGGTTACCCCCGGAATCAGTCTATGTTCCTTTCTGTCATTAATTAGAAAATGCCCTTTAATTCGAAATATAAAGAAAGGAAAGAGACCTAAAAATAAAATCAATATATAAAATTTGAATACATTCATAAAATTCAAAATAAGTGTGTGTGTAATAGAACTTGTTTTCCTTGTAAGAGTCCCAATTCGCAATGTGACATCTATTACAATACCAAAAGTAAGACATCTAGGGGCGGGCAAGAATCCCGGTCCCGTTGTCCCATTCCGGTATATCCCGAAACCGTACCGGTGTTGTCCCGTTCCGTTTGGGTCTCATTATTGATTTTGTCCCGCACCGGTCCCGTACGGTTTAAAACGGGACGGGACCGGGACATTGGAAGGTTATCCCGAACCGTCCCGTTGTCCCGTTTGTAATAACTATATAGATTTTGTAGCATGTGACTAGTTTGTAGTGTCAACTCAAAAAATAAATGAAAACATGTTTTTAGTTTTTCAAGCCCAATTTTTAAATTAAAAATAATACCTAACATAAATATTTACTAACATAGATTTTTATCTCACTTTGTATATCTACATATGAGTATCTCACAACTAGAACACATGATTTTGAATAAACTAATTCATTTTTGCTTTGTTTTAAATTTAAATTTCAAATTTTGCTAAACCTAACTAAAATCTAATACGTAGTAGCTTTTAGCTTGTGATAAACATAAATTAACTTTTAAAATGTTAATATTTTGGTGCATGATACTTTAGAAATGCAAATATATATTAATTGCAAATGATTATTTTTTGTTAGTTTGGGACGTCTCGAACCGTCCCGAACCGTTCTGAATCATCCCCGTCCCGATTTAAATGGGACAATACTAGGACAAAGGCTTGTCCCGTACCGTCCCGTCCCGCTATTATTAATTGGGACGGGATCGGGATAACCCTAATCCCGGACCGTCCCGACCCATGCCCACCCCTAAAGACATCTGAAATCGGGGAATTAAAATTAATTAATGAAATAATAGAGCTCCTGGAACTCTAATGCAAAATGAAAAGAAAAATACACTATTACTCCATACTAAATTCTTTTTTAGCTGAGCTTCTATTCGTCTTTCGTAACTCATGCCAATTAACTTTTTTTGTCTGTATAAAATGTTTTATATATGGTCTTTCAATTCAATTCATTTCCAGACATGTAATTGAAAATGCAATATAGGGAAAAATGAGTGGAAATCCATTGGGCGTTAAACACTAATGCAAAAAAAAACAAGTTGCAACTTGCAACCTTTAATTTGTTCCACAGCTTCTATCCCATTTCGATTGATCGGTTTATAGAATACAAGATATCAACATGCAAGGGATGACCTATTTATAGGGGACTTGCATTGTTAAAAGGTGAGGATATTAACTACACTGAAGCATTGAGCCAATAATGTCTAATTATGCCAGTGATCGATGCGGCCCAATCGGTTCTTTTTATTCGGTTTTCGGTTTCACGAACCCACCCCTGAGCTGCATAAGGGAGGGAGTAGATGAGAGAAGAGGGGGGAGCGTAAGGGAGTAGATGAGAGGGGAAGAAAAGGGGTAAAAGAGAAGAGTAATGTTTCCCCTTTTTATAGTGTATAAAGAGCAATTTTGAAAGTCAAGCGAGTAATTTTTTCTCTTTTTATAGTGTGTATAGTATGATCGTGTACGTATAAAGAGTGTCTACAAAGAGCAAATTTCATACCAAAGAGAACTCAGGTGGGTGACATATTATGCCCTCCCCTTCCTCCGATCCATGAGGAAATTACCAAAATGCGGGACTTTTTGGATTGACACGCCAAAATACAGGATACAACTAGGTTACCAAATAAATAAGGGACTCGGAATTGGATGTTCCGACTAAGGGTAAGGTTAGATTTTTTTGTGAAACATCTCCTATCTGAATCGACAAATCCGACAAAGTTATTTACTAATATTTATGTGGTTATCTCTCATCCCACATGCATGTGCATCGTGCACATTGTAGCATTGGAGATGCTCTAATTATCATAAGGAAACTTGGTTTATAGAGTATATAATATGGAGTATATACTTATTAAATAATCCGTATGTAGCAATAAAATATACTCTAAATCCCACTAAAATTGTTACATGCGAAGTATCAAATTTAGTAAAGTTTGTGTGACTCTAAATCATTTTTTCTTTATTATTACTTTATTAATTCAATATCAATCACATAAACTAACGTTTCTAAATAATCGGGTCATCCCCTTTTGTCCCGATGTTAGTAGGACGGAGGTAGTACTACGTATTATGTATTCATAATACTTCGTGTACTTTATACGAAGTATATCACATACTCCCAAGCAGTAAAGTAATAGTAATATGCCCTTTGTATGTTAAAGTTTGTTATACTTTCCTTTTCTAGATGTATTTAAAAGTTTACTACACTTTCCCTTTTTTGAAAGTTATTCTTTGAAGCGTATTCAAATACTCTTACTTTTTCTACTTTTCATGTTTTCTTTCATATTTTCCCACCATCTCTCCTAATTTGTCTATACTATTCATTACCCTACTATTTCATCCTTAAATAGTGAGTAAACGATTGTAGTGAACTTTTAAATACGGTTCGTACATGGTCTCGGAATAGGGAATAATTCCGACTCGAAGGGTCGTGTAAAACTCTAACTCTAGTCGGAATAGCCAATTCCAACTCCCACTTTTCTAGAAAACCTAGTTTTATCCCCGTATTTTTGAAACTGATGTTAGCTTTTTCCGTGTTTTGGGAAAACACCTGATGAGTGGTAAGACGATTGTCACTTTACTGATCAATCCAAATAAGGCGTGACACCTTTTTCGATTGATCAATTTTGTTTCAAAAATGATGTTTGTACCCACTGTTATACTTACTTTTGTATCCACCTATGTTTGTGAAGTGTTTTTTTGTCTGTGAACCCCGGTTCATAGACGATTGCCACTAAGGATTGATCAATGCTCAAGCGATAGGCATTCTCTTAGGGCAATGGAGAATTTTATTGCCAGTTCACTGATCAATCGATTCAGACGTGACACTTCAAACTCCATAGACAAAATGAGTAGAACATTTCAAATATTTTCTGAAGTACCTATGCAACCGTCATGAAACTCCAAGTACTCAATTGGTAGTTTTGAGATAACTACACTAAAAAATGGTGTATGCTAGATGTCAACCTTATTGATTATCATCGTTATCTCAATCTCATCTATCATCGAGGTCAATTTATTAGGACCTTATTTTGATTAAGTCGCTCAAGTTTTAACATGTTTAGTGATAAGATAAGCTTAAAAGAACAAACACAAATCTAAATAAGATGCATACAAAAATGATAATCATATTAATTACGGAGTACAAAAATGTGATCCTGCAACAACATATATTACTTCTATATGACTGTGTATACAAAATATGATAAGACTGGAGTGTGATGAAGTACATATACTCTCCAAAACCAGGGATGGAGACAGAGAGAGGCTGGAGGGGGTCTCGGCCCCTGCAAGAAAAAAATCTTAAGTATATACTTCGTATTATGTATAAATACTTTTAATATATAGAAAAGATGTTGATACTTTAAACTTTGGCCCCTGCAATGTAAAATGTTTAAGGACCGCCCCCCTTAACCATAGATTTCTGGCTCTGCCACTGTCCAAAACCATGCCTAAGGCTGAATATCATCGGGGTCGGGGTAGTGGTGCACATACAACTTGAACAAAATGAAGTAAAGAGCATACAGACTACACACCATATTCACACCAAATGTAAGTTTTCCTATTTTTTCCACAATTTTGCTGGATTGAGCTAGTAATGCTGCTTTGCAAGAATCGCAATTAAAGCAAAGTTGACCATTGTTCCACCTTGAACAATCGTCTCCTAAAGATGATGATGTTTGATTGCTTGTCCAATTTGTTGGGCTCACGAAGCTACAACTTTGAGGTGGAAGACAACATCCAGACTGCCACGAGGCGAAAATTAGAGTACTTAATATAAAACTTTATTAGAATGAATTGAAGAGTATACATATATACACTTTTTTCTCATTATATACAAGTATATACACACACACAAATATTCAGGTCAGGAATTTCCTGACTGGAGTGCCATCCGGCCGCCGCCATTTGGTGCGGTTCCCAGTGGTATTTTTTGGTGAAATATTTAATGTATTTTTTTCATGAAGTCTAGTTTATCCACACCACATTTCACCTTAAATTCAATCGGAAGGCAGTCAAATAATTTTGTGAAGATAACTGCGTTTTATATGTATATTTTGGCGCAGTTAACTTCAAAAAATTATTTGACTGCCTTTCTGATTGAATTTTTAGCTGAAAGTTTTTGTGAATAAATTAGACTTGATAAGGAACGTTCTCAAAAAAAATAGCAAACAATACCACCGGGAACCGCCCCAAACGGCGGCGGCCGGACGGCGCTCCGGTTAGGAAATTCTTGACGGGAAGATTACTACATATATTATACATATACTTCTAATCCAATCAAAACCATATTTGAGCAATTATTTAATAATGATGAATTAAATGCACAATATAATAATGTACGTACTCTTATATCACAGGAGTCAAAGCTTAGAAAATCAACCTAATTTTTAGAGATTCATACTAGTGTATATTTAAACATTTAAATATATATTAGTCATTTTATACTTTTCCTGTCAAAGATAGTAAACTTTGATCAATTAATTTTACTAGTATAATTATATTGTGAAAAATTTAATAATTTTATAATGGTATAATAGTGTTTTAACAAAGAACATTTTTATATCATTTCATATTATATATCAATACTTCGGTATATAAATATATAATCGGTCTAAGTTAGATGACGACATTGACTTGAAGAGTACTAATTAAAATGGGATAATGAAGGAAATAAATTAAAGTACTTCGTATATATGTTACCTCTAAGGGGGTGAGAGGCGCAACTGATAGTTGTTGGAGCGAGTCATAGGTGTAATTCAAGCGAGTGCACATAAGAGAATGTACGAGACACTTTGGGAGATTAGAACCATTATTCCACTGGGAAAGTACCCTGTCTCGAAGCGAGGTGGGGAACTGATCGAGACTGTATTATATTCCTTATCGGCCGGCCGGCCCGGTGCCGGAGCGGGGGAGACTGATGATTTCCCGGTGAGCTTGGACTGCTCGTGCACGACTGAGGACACAATCAAGGCAATAATCGCGGCCACAAGAAGCGGCATTAGACGATTGCATGAGGGAGACGGCGCACTGACTCAATGATGATATGATGACATACGTTATGCCGAGAAAAAACATTAGAACCGCGATTACGTAAATAATAGAGACTTGGATGTGGACAAGTTTGGCACAAGTTGAGCTTATTGCCAAGGCGATCTGTGCCATGAGGAAGCAGATGACGAAGGGTACTACAAATAATGCTCCAAAAAGTATATTGCAACAATGTCCAGCAGGTCCTCCCGCCATTTTCAATAGTCATATATTTTGCTTGATTGGGGAATGATATGATATAGGTCTCTAAAGGAATTGATTAAGATGATGGGTTCTTCTATGGTACTCTATTTATAATAACTATACCGTACGTACATTTTCTAAAATGGCCCACTAAGAGCATTACATGTGTACATTTTAAATTAACAATTACAAGTATTTGCAAATTGAGGCCTTTTGCAGACTTGGTTTTGGACGGTGCATTCTAAAAATCAAAGTGAATTTTTGGAATAGTATAGTAGTGATTTTTTTGCCCCCTCCCCAATGTCAAATACTACGGAGTATCATTCATGCAAAGTTAACGGAAGAAAAATCTGGGACCATTTAGAGAAAGCACAAAAAAACAAATGCCCTAAATAATAGGGAGAATTTAGTAAATAGTATTTTTCACCTTAACTTTCAAAAAATAAATGCGGCTGCTGTTCAACATCTAGAAGCATGAAATTGCAAAGATACACATCCAATAACTTTAGCCCTACATACGGTGCCCGTGTGCCACTAATTAGTGAACAAATTGGTTAATTTGTTGTCAAATAAATTAATATAAGTAATAACATGATATAAAACTTTAGTGAATAATTAATCATACGATATTAGATTATTCCTATGACTATGACATTGTACTTTTTATATTATAATTGAATATCACATTTTGAGCCTGTTTGTTAGCAATTATTTTTAATTTGTGTATATGGTCATTTTAGTTATTTTTCATATAATTTTTTCATAATATTATTAATAAACTACATATTTCTTTTAATAATTCTACCAATTCAGTTGCTTCATTCAAAATTCCATCAATGGCACCATATCAGTTGATTCAACAAATTTGTATTGCCAAACGGGCTATTATATATGTTACTATATTATTTATACACGGAGTATTTTATTCGGCGCATTGTAATGCACATACTCCCTCAGCCCTGGAAAGGTTCGCTAAATTGATTTTTCTTTGTTAATGACAATCAACTTTGACTAATGATTTTTTTAAAAACGAAATTATTTTGAATATGAAAATTATACTAAAATGTTCCTCATTCAAAGCATTTTCATAAAAGTATAAATATTATAAATTATATACACATACAATAATTAAAATCATTGTCCAAAGTTTGTCATCATTGACGAAGAAAAGTCAATATAACAAACCTTTTCGGGACGGAGGTAGTGTTATAATCCACCCCCCTCCATCCTAATGTGTGGCTCCTCATTGGCAAACACCGGTAGCTCCTCATTGGCAATAATTAGTCCAAAACTGCTCCTCGATTTTCGGCAAACACTGGCCACCTAGCAAAGGAACCGGTCCGGTTGGACACGAACCCAATAATATGTTTAAACTTGGAATTTACCTGTAACCCGGCTTAACCCGAATTGGACCCGGAATGGGTAAAAACTGGGAATTTGTAGAGCCCAGCCGGTTTCAAAACTAATCACACGTAGAACATCCAAAATCTAAAATGATTATAAAGGGTTCCAAACCCACATATATATGAGCCAAGGACTCGCTATTGTTTTGGCTTGGAAATATATGATGAAATAAAGCAAAACAACTCAATAAACTGTCTGCGCTTCTTTTTAATGAAGCAACAATCAGTCCATGCAATTTTCGACGCGATTTTCACTATGGATCATTCGAAAACAGTCTCTATGTGATTTAATACAGAGGTAAGACCGCGTATATCTAACTCCCCTTACACCACGATTTTCACTATGAAGAAGAAACTGACTAGAAATTCAAAAATAAAATAAATTTGTATTTAAGAGTCTTTTTTGGTGTACACTTGTTTCTATAAAATAAAATTTGTATTTATCCAAAAATGGATAAATTGTTTGTGTATATAAACAACTTGTGGACAATTTTTCACTACACAAAAAATTGTACAAATATAATTTTTGTATCTTTAATTCTAAAAAGTCGATTGTATTGTTAATTTGTCAAGATTTAATCCTAAAATAGTTTATGCATTTTTATAAAGGGGGTGAGTTCCAAAAGACATTTACCATGCATATATTATTAAAAATAAGTTTGAGTACAATAACAAAAAAGAGTGATAAAACTAAAGAAAAGGGAAACAAGTGCGGAGAAATTGCATAAAAGAAATGTAAGGATTGCCGGAGTTGTTGATCGCGGTTGAATTTGTGTTTGAACAGTCCTCGTCAAACCCTCATTCCGCTTCTTTGATTTAGAGACGGCCGTAGTGTATCCCTCATCTTCTGGGGGGTGCAAAGGATTCTTTCTAGAATGATTGTTTATGCATTTCAGTCAAACTTTACAAACATTTCCAAAATTTGGGTGTTACGAGTGCATTTTTGTCTCAAATTAGTAGAGGCATAGGTAGACTTTAAATACAACTCCTTGTGCTTTACGGCCAATCGAAGAACTTTACACTCGAGTTCCATGCAACTTCTCTTTCACCTTTATGGAAAAAACTACAACAAATAATTTACTTTTTCATATAGCTTAACTTTGGATGCATTTCAGGCCGGCCTGACATGATCGATAAATTGAAGGCAAACGTCACTAAGGGATGATCAACTTTAGGGCTGACACGCATCACACATTCAAATGCAATAGTGAGTTGCCGCTATAGACTATAGATGTGTGGCTTACCCAGACATATATTCTGTTAGCAAAGGGCACTTATCCGTACCGCCAGTACCAACCATTCAAATATTCTCTTACCAATTAGCCCTACACGTGACATGCTCTTATTAGATCAGTTAGTTTTAATTTACTTGTTCACCAAGTATTTCATATTTGGGTATAAATATCACCTTTCAATTTGTGGAAACAGATTCAAATTCTGAGTTTTAGCATATCGTTGCTCGGCCAAATTTCTTACTCAATTCATACTTAGCATATTTTAGACTCACGATCAGATCTTACTATCCATGATTCCTAAGGACTATCAGTAGGCTCCGTTACAAAGAGCATTAATTTGAATTCACCCCAATTTATTCTTGTGAACACTATTGCTAGTTTAGAAAATTTTTATGATCACTCTCAGTAGGGATTATTTGTGTAGAATCCCTAAAAGTATGGATTATTCATGTGAATTTTGGCTTAATTTATTTAAGAATTTCAGTTATTTTTTTAATAAAAAATTATTGAATTTTATTAATGAAAATAGAACCAAAGTAGCCGCACGTCTCTCTCTAGGGCTTCCTAGCCGCTAGAGCTTTTTTCTCCGGCGGCGATCAATTCCGATTGTGGGTTCCGGCCGTTTTTGTTCGATCTGTGTGTTTCTGTTTGGCTTACGTCGTCAGGATTAGCGTTCGATTGCTGTCGAACGTTGGTCTGCTACGGCGTTTCCTTTCGATTTGATTTCAGGCAATAGGCAATCCGATTGGTTCTCTTTTTTGGGGGGAGGAAGACTGAGTTTGGGTAGCAAGGGCATGGCAGCGATGAAGATGATCGCTAGCGGTGGATTTGCTAAGAGCGCGGGACGAGGAGAGTTGTGCGGCTTTCGAGCAGGTCAGATGACGATTGACAATGAAGGGTCAATTAGAATAGTGCCAAGGATACGGCCTCCTCCGGAACCACCGTCATGGATTGTACGAGGTGATAGAGTCTGTGAAAGTTTTCCTATTAGTTATTTTTGTTGTCATTTGGATTCTTGTTATCGTCTATGTTGTTAGTTTTGTCAGTTTGTTTGGGATTTCAGCCTTTTTTAATGTCATTGAGTATGTTTGGAACTGTGGGAACATGGATGGCTATGTCAAGCCCGCTACATGGTTAGCGATTCGCGTGCTCTTTCAAAGGTGACCGTCTCTAAGTCTGATCATAGGGTTTACAGTCGTAGTTGTGGGAATTTAGTTGGAGTCTGTTTCATTTTTCCTTTGACTAATGTAATAATCCTGAAATTTATGATATGAAAGAAGGCTAGTTGACAATAAAAAAATGAAAATAGAACCAAAGTACATGATGGGAGGAATATGCCTTACCCAAAGAAAGCAAGAGTGGAAAAAAGTCAAATAGCAAGTAAATGTGATCGAAAAAGCCCATGCCACCAACGACGATGGGCCAAAACAACAAATCCTAAGACATCGGACGGGCCAAAACAGTTTATTGAGTCGTTTTGCTTTATTCCATCATTGCAAGCCAAAAAAAGTGAGTCATTGGCTCATATATTTCAGTTGTTATAGTAAAGTGATTGTTATTCTTAAATTTGATTTGGAATATTTATTTTGATTGTTTAAAGTTTGAGTAAACTTCTCGATCCAGGCAGTTATCACATTTGTTGGTAATATAAGGATTTTATTAAGTTTTTATTTGGAGTTATATTTTAGTTATATTTGAGATTTTATAAGAGTTATTTTTTAAACAAATGACTGTTATATTTCATTTTATTTTAAAACATTAATAAGTTAGTGTAATATTTCCTTTAATCCTGAGAGGGGCGTTTCATCATCGGTGATGGACTAAAAACAAAACGAACTTAAATTTCAGGGATAGAGAACAAAACCAACTTAGACTTCAGGAATGAAAAAAAAATCACTATAAAATTCTATCGGGAAATTAGTTAAATAAATTATTTAAAAACACTGTATTTTACTTTTATATATATAAAGCACAATATTTTTCTATAATTTTTTTTATCGAAGAGGGATTAATTCATAAAAATAGCATTCAACAGGGGTACAGGATAATAAAAGAACCACATGTAACCATCCGTCATTGGCCGAGACTGAGAGTTAACCACCTGTAAAAAAGCAGTATAACTCGTTAGACCTGAATTGGGCAACTTAAAGCCAATGACGATGACCGCAGACCTCTCACCCCCCAAACCTAATGCAAGAGTCTTACAGCATAAAATAAAACAACACACAAACGTCTTAACTTGGAAATTAAAATGCAGAAAAAATAAATAATCAAACTCCAAACTGCGTTGATCAACCCTTGGCGGTGGTTCTGGAGGAGGCCGGACTCTTGCGTCGGCAGATGTTGCACCAAAGCGGCTCACCTCCAACTCGACCGCCCCTTCGTCAGCATCAACAATCGCCAATTTGTCCGTATCTTGCACTGCTCGGCTCTCCTTATCTGCGTGAAATTGTCCTCCAATCCCCTGCTTACCGACTCCACTTTAATAGAATAATTCCTAATATTTAATAGAATATTGCTAGAATATCTCCCAATAGATTATGATTTTGCTTCTGCTTTAAA